GACTTTTCGCCGCTTTTTGCGATACACACACGGCAGTGCTCAACCGTTTGACGGCAAATAAAGAGCTTCAACACCGCCATCGTCTGTATGCACGTACAAATAATTAACTGCACTTGAAGCTATCATAAAATTACAAATGAAACACCCAAAACTGTACATGGCATCATCACGAAGGCGAACTATATGTTTATACGTCACATCCCGGAGGGGACGTCGGATGGCGTCACGTGGGACGTAATGACGTGTGCCATTAATCGAACTATGTACTATATATAACATGTAAAACGGGAACATGAAAGGAATATTCTAAAAGCAATATAATGTAAACACCATAATCATAGTATTGGCTTATTTAGAATAAGGTAAATAATTAGATTACTGATGTCCATGTAAACGTAGTCATTGAGCATTTCAGGAAAGGAGGAAAGGAACAAAGAAAGGGTGTTATAGGGGTCCCAAGCAAAACAATAGTGTCAATTACTGCATGCATACTTGGTTAATATATGTAGATGCAAAGTGCATTTACTGAAAAAATGAAAAATACTATCTTATTTATGTGCAGGCTTCTTGGTTCCCTCTTTATTTTTCTGCTATTTGGCAACTCTGCACTGCAATTCTTTTGGTGGCTGATGCATTTCACAGGTGACTTAACCTTATCATAATTGGAAAATGATAGCTTCAGATTTGAAATGTAAAGTTTCCACACAGGTTCCACCGAGTTTATACTACTTACCACAATGAGTTTTTCTTCTAAGAAAATTATATGACTAATTGCATATTTACATCAGCATTGGAAAATCTAATGGGCATAGTCAATACTTTACCTGGAAACATCTAACGGCCCTGGATACATAAGATTCCTAGAATTACACACATATAATGGCTTTTCATTGTTATTAATATGATACCCTTTTCAGACCCTTTAAAAAGATATGTTATGGATGCATGATTCATTGTTAGATGTTACATAGGCATACTCTGTGTTATATAGTAATTACATCCAGTCTTAATTAGAACTTGAGCATTTAAATAGATAAATAGATATAATTTACTGCATATTTGTAAATGTAGTATAGGTGTAATGATAGTGTTATAAACACTCTTTAAAGATGAACATCTTTGGAAATCTATAACAATATAAAAAAGTGTTAATAAACCACTAATTGGGTTGTTTTTAACATGGATTTTGACCATACGTGTTTTCAATTTGAATCATCTGTGCAAAACTGAGGCTTTAATATGAAAACTGGCACTAACGTTTCTTCAGACTAACATAATAATTAATGAAAGGACTGCTAATATTACTATAAATCACATTAGTGGATAAAACAGCAATATTTCCATTGTGCTGTCCATTGGCTGGCTTTTAAATCAAACAAACCTCTCCAAGATTCTGATGACAACATCTGCTGAAACATCTGGCTCATTAAGTCTCCTGTGAAATCTGAATGGCAGTTCATTGCAGCAATAACATTTCCAAAACAAAAGCTTTTAATTTGGCTCTGCCATTTCAAGGTATGGATATCTTTTGTACTTTAATGACAGCAAACTACCGGTCCAGTATGATTGAATTACAGTATATTTCAGAATGTTCAAAGACCTAACAGTCAATTACTGCCTTCATTAAACAGCTTTTTTTTTTTTTACCACAAAAACATTGAAGTTAATGTAAAATGAGTAATAATTAAAAAATAGTAGTTTCAAGTACTGCTGTTTACTGGACATATTTATTGAGTGCATGTA